AAATGTAATAATAAAAAAAGAAAAAGGGGGGAGAGAAGCGAGAGAAAGAGAGAAAGTAGAGCCATCGAAGTGTCCGAAGCAATAAAACACGTATCGGGTGGTTGTTTTATTACGGAATCTCTTGGCTGCCCTCGTAGAAAGAGAGGTCGACGCCTCGAGAGATCCGCCGAAGCGTGGAACGCGTGCTCGAGTGTTGTGTTCTGCTGCACACGTGCATAAATGCTCGTTACATACACATATATATATATGTATATGTGCTACTCGAGAGTGCACACGGTCAAATATACACGTGCACAAATGCGCGTGCGCACTTGCGTGTTTATTTCTTTCTTATACTGTACAAATATACGTATATACACTAATACACTATATATATATATATATATACTTGGCTCGGGTTGCTTGTAAATCGCATGCTCCTACTTTTTGTATATGTTCGCACACGCGCACGTGCGTAACCACAATACCGACTGTACTAGCAAACGAACACTCGCGCACGTTCGTTTACGGGGGAGCTCCTGGTCCGAGATTTTCCCTCTTTCTCTTTCTCTCTCTCTCTTTTCCCCTCTTTCCCTCTTGTCCTCCCTATCTTTCCATCTCAGTCTCTTTTTCTCCCCCCGTCGACTAAGGTCGCACTCGACGGGACCTCCGAACGACTATTAACGGGACAGGATCTCTCTCGAGTCTGTGAGAACCAAGCGTACGTTACCCCTGCTGCTTGGTAAAGTAAAGAGGAGATACCAAGAAAGCAAGAAAGAAAGAAAGAAAGAGAAAGAGGACACGCGACTTGGTTGGTTCTTGCTCGTTTAGCTTGAGTTCAAGGTAGAACACGATGGGATTTACGTGAGGGACCACTACTACTCCCTGCCATAAGAACAAGAAAGAGATAGAGAAAGAGAGAGAGAGAGAGAGGGAGAGATAGAAGCTGAGTTATTCTCTTTCTCACTTGTGACGTTTACTTCTGAGCTTTTGCAATCCTTATTCTATCTTCATAGCACCACCTTTTGAAAATAACTGGAATTTCCCCAGGCCTCTATGGTTGTTGCTATTATCACGTTTCATTTTATTTCTCTTTCTTACCTTACTCATGAGTTTTATCAATCGTTCTTTCGGAAAGAATGTTAATCATTATGCGATATTATATTTCATATAAATGAGAACTGCTACCAATATATATTTTATTTTCATTTAATATATATAATATATGATATATAATATAATATATGAGCCGTTTATTTTGAAAGTGGCATAAGTCACTTTTTTTTTTATTTTTTTAATTGAAAATGAAAAGATATTGTTCAGTTGTAATTAGTATTACCATTAACTCGGTTTTTTTTTTGAAAAAGTGACTTATGCCACTTTCAAAATAAACGACTCATATATATATATACAATTGCACCTTTATTATTCGTTTATTTTATACTTTCATATTATTCATGCATTATCTACGAATATTACGATCATAGATTCGATTAAATTAAACGGGAAAATCATCGTTAGATCTTTTCGCATTATATTCAATTCCGAATTGTGATGAGTAATAATAATCATGAATCGTTTTCGATCCTCGACTGGATCACAAAGATGCGGCTATTTATTTTTAACGTCTTTGGTCGTGCGCAAACGAGAGAGAGAAAAAGAGAGAGAGAGTGAGAGTGTGTGTGTGTATAAGTTTCGCCCACGTTTTCCAAGTATCGTCTAAAATCGTTGAGAAAGAGAAAGAGTCAGTCCCACGACCCGATCAATAAATTGTCTAATTTTCCTTTACGTTATTTTATATATTTTCATTTTTGCTTTGCAGAACGGAGATCTCTGCATATCTATCTTGCATCCACCGGTAGACGATCCACAAAGCGGTGAATTGCCATGCGAGAGGTGGAACCCAACGCAAAATGTTAGGTAAGATCTGAACGTGAAGATCTTTCGGAATCCCTTCATCTATTTTTTCTCACCATTCCCAACATTATCTTCATCGTCATCTTCGTAATCTCTCATCGTACTCTATAAATAAATTTAACATATGATTTACCGACTATTCTAATTTGAAACCCCACTTATTCATTCAAACAATGTGTTTGTGTAAGTTTTTAAAAAATAATAAACGAAACATCTGTAAATTTAACGTTAAAAGACGATATACGATAAATAGATATTCCTTTGATAATGTACCTTTCTTACAGGACGATTTTGCTCTCTGTGATCTCACTCTTGAACGAGCCCAACACATATAGCCCTGCCAATGTAGATGCCTCGGTGATGTACAGACGCTGGCGTGATTCCAAGGGTAGAGATAAAGAGTATGAAAATATCATAAGGTAAGAGAAACAAGTATCGAGATGGAGGATATACGATTCTTTCTTTCTTTCTTTCTTTCTCTTTCTTTCTAACCACACATACATCCATACACATATATTTATTTATGTGTACACACCTTCGCTCCATTGTTCTTACCTTCTCGTACCGTTATAACTTACATAGTCTTTTTTTTCGCACCACTCCTACAGTTCGAAGCGAAAGTTCTCTCGCCTTGTTCAAGACAACTACATATATATCGTCGTTTATCTTGAATTAAACCTACGAAAGTTCTTTGATAATATAAATCATTATCAAACTTTGAATCCCCTCCCTCACCCTTTTACTTATCGTTTGATTTTCAATATTTCTAAGTCTTATTCATCAAATACAATCTTATAATGGTATATCACACAGTTGAGAAATATTGGAATAATTAAATTAAATCAAAAACAACAAAAAAATGTGTGTGTGTGTAACGAAAGAAAATATAATATAACAGGAAGCTTTAAATTTAGGGCCACGGTATTATTACATTAATAATATTATAACGTTAACTACGTTTACAATAATTATAACGTTAATACTAACGTTTATAATATAATAATATTACGTTAACTATTGAGCAAGTAAAACCGTATAAATCGGTTGGTATTTAATAAAAGGATTTCCACGCAATAAATATTCATGTTTACAGAAAGCAAGCTCAAGCTGCCAAGGTAGAAGCTGAGAAGGAAGGTATCGTAGTACCTGTAACATTGGAGGATTATTGCATAAAAACGCGTGCGAGGCCAGCCGAACAACAATTGGATATGACAGATTTCTACGATGATGAATATGAATTAGATGACGACGAGGATGAACAACTTAGCGCCAGTGATTACGAAGATGGCGATGATAGCGGAAACGGAGAGTCGTGATCCATTTCTTAAGATTATAAATTACGCGGAATAATAATTATTAACAGTTCTGTATAGATTAATAAATTAATGAGCTTTTAAACCGGACGCGCTCGCTCTCTCTCTCTCACTCTCTCTTTCTCTTTCTCTCTCTTTATCTTTATCTTTATCTATTTTCTTTTCGTTTCTTTTTTTTTTGTCTCAGATTTATATACACAGACAAATATATATATATATATACACGTACGCATTCAAATTATAACAAAGGTACACTTTCACTCATTCTTTCTTTCTTTTTTTTATACAATTTCTCTTTACAAAAAACCCTTTTCGCGATTCGTTTGTATTTCTATTCTTCTCTATTAAAATATTTGTATCTTTCTTTCACTTATTTCTCTTGAAATGATGATGGAACATCATTTCTATATTCTCCAAACGTGTATCCTATATCTACCACCCCCGCCCCACACCCCACGTAAAAATTCAATTAACGCGTTCGCATCGTCATATCATATTAATAAATACGATTCTCCGCGCCAAACACCAGGAGGAAAGATCAAAGACACACACATCGTCAATTATAAAGAAAAATTATTATTCTCACGAGCACCGATTCTCCCCCACCCCCCTTCTTCTTTTACCACCCATCTCTTTCTCTCAACCCCCGTTTTTATTCGAACTTAATATTTATTGTTTTGATATCGACTTATCGATAAACGTTAAAACGCTCCGCGTTGATTAATTGCGAATTAGAAATGTTGATTTAAAAAAGAAAAAAAAGAAGAAGAAGAAGAGGCGTTTGCCAGTTAATTCTTATATCGGCGAGAGCAAACTCGATTCAAAAAATATATTTCATTCGAACGATTAATAAATATAACGTTTTTCATTTGGCAATTGTATAAGCATATTTATTTTATATAATTTCTCAGAGAAGAGATAATATTTCTCGTATCTGGGGGATACGTGACAAAATAATATAAAAAAATTTGTAAGAGCGTCGTACCGTTTAAAATGATCGGTAATATACCGTGTTTACAAGCTCCTAAACTTTAAGCAATATACGGTACGAATATAAGTACTTCGATAGGAGCACCGTGCTTGTTGTTTGTGGCTGGCACATCGATCTTCGAAATAACAATGAAAAAGGATCGATTGATTTACCATTTTTCAAAAGGAATATTATATTCTGTGTTCTATTTAAATTTATATACCTGAAATAGAGAAAGAATTGGTATTTAAAAAGAAAAAAGGAAAAAAAAAGAAAAATCTAGATATACATATATATACATATATATATATATGAAAAAACAAAAAGTAAAATATTTTAACAAATTCAAAGTTACGCGAACGGGTACATCAATTGATCTTAGGCATATACGATTTAATTATATATATATATAAAAATTAATGACAAATTATGAATTGTGAAATTACGTCATAACGCGTGATAATTATTTATGCTGTAAACTTAAAAGTGTAATTTCGAGAAGAGTGTGTAATGCAACACCAATAATTGACAAAATGAAGCAAGTCGTCCAGGAAGACATTTCGTATTTGAAATCTCAAGTTCGATTTACATGGAAAAAAAAAAAAAAAAAAAAAAACTAATCGTTCCAATTATTGGATTTATTTACACATTTGCTATTATTATAATATATTATTTATTATTATTAATTTTTCTCTTATATATAACACGCGACCATTCATTTTTTATGGTTCACGAATAATTTAAATAAATTTTCGTCTAACTATCGAACTTAGATAATATGATTAACAAAATAAGTGACTTCGATGGATTGCTTGCTTACATTTTCACGCGCAAGATAATTTTTACTACGGAAAAATATCTGAATTGTAAACTATGAAATTAAATGTCGGGAAAATGTTTAAAATGAGTATAACAATGTATGTCTGAGATGCCTACTATATGCATCGTGCTACATCCACGAAATTAGAGTTTAGCTTGTAATTTTAAAAGCCCCCTATTTAGAACTTTTATAATAAGTAAGCTTACATATAATGGTAACTATCAATATTAATATAATTAAGGTATCTAATATTTTCTTTTTTATTTTTTCTTAATCTTAATCACACGTTTATTATTACTTTATCAACATTCGATGGAGAATAAATGCTTTATAATTTCTATTTCTTTTTTATTATTTTTTTTTTTTCGAAGTGTAGTTACCATTTTTAATATTAAAATGTTTTTATTTTCAAATAATATAACGAAATGTTAACTATATACCAAGCGATATAGCTTACTATTTTCTTAGTGACAATAAACAAATTATGAGATAGCAATCATTTTTTGATATATCGAACATTGAAAGAGTTTTTTTTGTTTATTCCCTATCTTTTTGTATAAGCGTAATATTATTACGACAATTGATCTTTTTTTATTCATCGAATTTCATTTATTCATGTTTTTTAAAAACAAAATTTATAATATTTGTGGTTCTTACTGTTGGAAATATCAATTTCACAATTTACAATAAATCAAATACACACACATATATTTTATTCATAAAATGTTATGTTTTATAATTTTCTATTGATTTTCTCTCGAGTAAAAATTATTTTTCGAATACTTGTGTGTTAGGGGGCTTTTATATTGACGATAAGGGACATACTATGCGACAATGTTCTAAGGTAATTTTTCACTATTAAGGTCTGGTAAAGTTTTAAGCTTTATCTATACAAAAAAGTTAAAGCTTAAAACATATGTGAATTGAAATAAACATAAGTTTACTATTTAAGTAAAAGAAATATCAGATATGGCTAATTTACTTTGTGACAGTGTATCTGTGCTCGTATGACTGAAATTGTAAATAGTACATGAAACACACAATTTAAAAAAAAAAAGAAAAAAAAAGAAGAAAAAAAACATAAAACGTGTATATGGTACTTTCACTTCGTTCTCCATCAGCCATTTTATTAAAAGACCAAAATTAAATGTTGAAAGTGTTAAACCATAAAATAAAGGTGGAAGTTTATTTAAATTTCAATATTGTCCAAGCATATACTTAGCGCTTGAATTAGTATAGTGAACATTATGAATATATTCCCTAGTTCCTCTAATATAATATAACAAAAACAAAAACTTCGTTTCGTGTTTCTCTTAGGTATGTAACTATAGGAAATTATGTAAGATGTTTAAATAATGCTAATGATTTGTATACATGATTATTCTTTCTTCTTTTTTGTACATAACAATAAAAATCTCCTCATACAATTATTAATAAATTTCTAGCATATAGTAACGGCACGTGTCTCATTAATGAATTGAATTAATATTACAAGTTAGGCATCTCATATTACAAACGATCACTTAATAAATAATATCTAAGTTTTACAGATATTACGAGAAAAAACAATATATTATCAATTTCAGACAATAAGTAAATATTCACGTATATCGTAAAATTCGTTGTATAAACATTTTTATTTAATATTACGCTACAAATGATATTGAAAAAATATTTTTTAATATTATTAATGTTTTAATTTTTCATAGACACAAATGTTTTTCTTTAGGTATTCCAACTAATAAGTGATTTTTAGGTGTACACGTCTCTGGTATTAATTTACCAAGATATACTATATAATTAAATTGTTTAGCCTGTAATTTTCTATCAGTGTCTATAATAGCCATGCAATCGTATCCTTGTTGAGTTTTAACGTTAAGTTTATCATGTGTTTGATCCGCAGCATGGCTAAGAGTTAAATATTGTTTAGTATTAATGTGTTTCTTAAAAATATCACTTCTAGGATATGTTAAATGATGACAATTGTGTAATGATCCATAACAGCATGGACAACTTACAAAAATAGCATTTCTTTTAATGCAGTGTTGAATAACTAAATCAGTTGCTACTCCACAAGCATGCAAAGATAGACCAATATTAAAATCTCCTTTAAAATAATCCAAATTACATTGATAAAATTTAATATTAGTTAATTTCAATAGATTGCTTCTTTTCTTGGCTCTATTTAAAGACTCCTCTTTATTTTCTAATAATATTATAGTACAATTCGGTAAGAGATATGCAAGTAAGACTCCAAGGTGCCCACTGCCAGAACAAAAATCAACAATGACATCGCCTGGCTTAGCTAATTTTATAACAGGCTTACACAAATTTTCCAATTGATCAGATTTTCTTTGCAAACGTGCAAGTGGTAAAGATCCACCTTCTGGGGTTAAATCAAAAGGAATATTTGTCCAGTCGAAAGATATTTCTGCGCCAAACGGTTCCGCGTCAAGTTCGCTTAGAATTTCTGCATTGTGAATAATTTGCATGGAATATTCTATATCTTTTTGTTTAGTATAGACACGACTTTTCGGTTGATATCTTTTAGGATCACTCTTGTACAAACTTTCATAAGGAACTTTAGGAAGTATATAATTAATGTCATTGTTGAGATTTTTTTCTTGAATAGATAAGCAACTTAAACATTCCAATATAATATGATCCTGAATCATTCGTTCGTACCATTTACTTATCAATGGCAATAATTTGAGTATCGCATCTCTCGAATACATCGTAAGCAATATATGAACACAAATAAATATAATTATATCGGATAATGTAATATTAAAGCCTTCTGCATATTTATGTTCTGGTAATTGAACATTATCTCTTACGACTACATCTTTAATACTATTTTTCTTAGATGTTACATATTTATACAGATTATGTATCTTTAATGGTTGCGACATGTGACATTCAAATCTTGCAAGACTATAAGGCAATTCTATTTCATTTAAATTATCTAAATTAAGAAATTTTAACATATTAATAATATCTATTTCACAAAATTTAGTCCAGATACTGCTTTCCGAACAAGCTAATAAACACGATTCTTTAAATCCTAACAAAGATTTACAATAATGTAATGGACAATCTACCAGTGTTGTTTTTATAATTTGTCTTAGTATAGCACAAAGTCCTGCTATATAACTTGTTTTGTTTAAAACTATACTGGGTAATTCGCATGAATTTACATCATGAGAAATTTTATCTTCGTCCATTATTTCATATACAAATTCAGATATATCTATAACATATCCGCATTCATTTAATTTTTGTTTAGTTTTAATGAATTTAATATTGATTTTAGAGTTGCAATATTTCATTGTAAGAAGTGTTATGATCGTTTCTATTGGAGCTAGACATAAATCAGTCGACGAATATATCTCTAAATATGCTTCATTCATTTTTCTGATTTTTATTTTGTAATTGCAACTATATTATTATAATTATTATTATAAACAAAGAAATTGTGTATGTAGAAAATTTATTTTCACTTACTTATACGCTATCTCTTAATTGTCTTGCAACTTTACGAATAATTCTTTGCCTTAGTATATTTTCCCTCCAATATACGCTAATACAAGAAGTAAATGCAAGGGCAAACATAAAACCTTCGAATTTCCAAAATGCTCTTTCTTCTAGCCATGCTACTCGGTCACAACTGAAATATATCAAACGTTTATAAATAAATAAAAAAATTCTTCTCTTTATTTCAATGCAATCCTATTAATTTTAAATTACCTTCTTGTTTTAGTCTCTCCACTTTTACACTTCAAAACTTCTTTGTATCTTGCATGTATACACACTGCAATACTTTCACTTGCAATTTCAAATGCATCGCATGGATGACATTCTGTTAATATCTCATATTCGTCTCCCGACAAACAAACTGTATTATTCTCAAAGTTATCGAGATAAAGTTTATTTGGTGAATTCGTCCAGTGACTTTCAACTATCAACACTATTATTGTTAATCTATATAAAATGAATAAAGATAATTATGTTATTTCGGTGAATAAAGTGATTCATATAAATTATTAAAAACGATTATAGAATTTTATAATATTAAATAGAAAATGTTATATGTTTTAACGAATGTGTTAATAATGTGAAACATAATATTAAGAAACGTGAATAACAACTGACCCTCCTAATAAAATTATACCTAACAACATTCGTTTCTTTGTACAAGATTCAATCATTTCGTAGGTTCTTACTTATATTTACACACACTTATAAATCAAATTATTTTTCTTCTGTATTCATAATAACATTTACATGCCTATAACATTGTATAGCACCATTAATTATTTGTCAAGGACATGATATCAAATGAGTTTAGAAATCGATGTCTATCGATGCGCCACATCGTGGTAAGTCTCGAAAACTTTCTCGATAACAAATCGATATATCAAATCGATATATCAAATCGATATATCAAACAACGAGCGGCAATTTCAATTTCTAATTGCAAGTTTTTCATCATCATTGTAGTAATGGAAATTAAAATAAATTTGCGAAATAAAATGTTATAGTATGTTATTTTCATTATAATGAACTTATTGAATATTCATATAATGATCATTAGATATTTCAATATTACTAATAAAATGTTTTAATTTAAATTATATATTTGTTTTTATTAATCTTTCATTACTTCTTTTTTGTAAATCTTTCTCTTCATCGAAAGCGATAATTTCGGTTTCTACCGATGATGACAATTTTATAAGTATAGGAATTTTTTCTAAAATAGGATTATCTTTTTGCAAAAATCTAATCCAAGATACTGCTGAATCTTTATTAGATGTACCAGTGGCACATACTGCAAAATAAACACCGTCATCTTGATCGTGCACCGTAGGTTCTACAGCAATCTCACGAGTCTTCCAAAATGGAATTTTGATGTTCCTAACATCTACATAAAAATATAAATAATTTTTATCAAATGTAATATAGATTGCATTTAATAAAATACATATTATTGACATACCATCAATATCTTCATTTTTACAAGTTCTCTTTATTGGATCTGCTCTCAAAATAAAGTAATCAACTGATTGATCCGCGACCCAAACTTTGAAAGGGCCTTCTACGTATATAGGAATATTCTTCCTTGATTTTGAATGATCTAATAATAAATCTTGTTGAATGCGACTAATAGCAGATATTATCCAAGTATCTTCATAAGATTCCTCTAAATCTTTAGTCTCAAATTCAGATATAACCGTTGTTAACTCGACACTACTTATCTTCTGTATTGCTAATCTGGCAAGTACTTTTGGATCTGTAGGTATTGGTTTTGGAACAGGCCAAGGGGTTACATTTTTAAACTTAGGCATCCAGTATAACATTCGCCATACCTTTTTTAATGGGTCAGCGTGTTTACCAAATATATTTAGAAGAATAGTTTCTACTTCTTTATCAGGTATTACCCGATTATCTTCCATTTTTTCTAGTAATTCGGTAGCAACATCTTGATGTTTCGGGTAAAATTTAAACGCTGCAGTATAATAATTTGTTGCAATATATGGTCCTTTTGGAAGGACATTTAATATAGCTTTATAAGCTTCAAGATCTCTATGTAAACCATATATTTCCATATATTTCAAAGCTAATTTAATAAATTCTACTTGACCTCTTCTATTTTTTTCCTGCTCATAAGTTCTTATTATGTCAAGAAAAGCCTCTTTCTTTTTGTCTTGTGTATTTTCAAACATATATTTTATAACAGAATGAGGTTGTGTAAAAAGACTTTGATTAGTGTGGAATAACCGATTTGTTTCCAAGATTGGAATTAAACAACGTAATCCATTAAATTTCTCGTTAGTGATTACGGAATATTTAAACATTAAAGTATTACTCCTCATTGAATATTTGAGAAGTATTTTATTACTAATCATTTTATTCATAACATAAATTCTTGATACATGTATATTTTGAATCTTTTTAATTATTTATTAAAAAATTATTTTTTATTCGTCACCTTTCGTTTTCTTTTAATTTATTTCTAATCATATACATTAAAACTATCTAACCTCATTTATTGAATGAATCTATTTTGAGTGAATTTCGACACAATCAAACAATAACGGTGAGCAAGTAAACTACTCGAGTGAGCCACTATAGTGACGCAACGACCTGGACAAAATATTCGAAAAAGCCATTTTGTACCGCAGAAAAGTTGATACATAACCTGCTTTGCTCAGAAATGAGAAAAAACGTTTTCGATTTTTCAATTATTAATTACTAATTAAATAATTAATTAATAAAATGAGCAGTTATGGATTTTAAATGTGTAATTAAAAGCACTTATTCATTTTTTTCTACTGTTGAGGTTCTATGCTAACTTTTTTGTGCTTATTTGTACGTACGAGTACGTACTTTAACTCATTACACTTTCAAACTTCTCTGATTTCAAAAACATTTGGTCAATATTGCTTTATGATATTTATATTTTTATTTATCTTATTTTATAAAAAGTAGTTTTATTTATGTAAAAAAATTTGTATGAAGTAAAAAGTTTAATATAAATCTACTCAGTTTAGATAAATATGTATAAATTCAAAATTTTACAGTCATACTGTTCAATTTTATTTAAAAATTACAATAGTAAATTTTTTTTATTTTTCATCAAGTTATTTTTTTATTATTCTGCTTGACAGCCTTCAAGATTTAATGCTCTAGCTAAATTTCGTGCAACTGCAAAGCGAAATATTTCTACTTTATCTGAAAACTTAGGATCATCGCCATGAGCTTCAACACAACGTAATAATTCAAAGGAATCGATGGAAGATAAAATTACATCCTCACTTTCCAGAAGTGGAATAACATCCGTAAACAGGATTGACCAAAAACTGGAATATAAATAATAATTTCAATTTTATAAGATTATTTATCGAAATTTTTATCATTAATATTATATTTTGTACTTACTATCTTGGTGTAAGATTAGAAACTATCAGAGATACTAATAAGCTAGCTGCTTCTTTGAACTCACCAATACTATACATTTGATGAAACTCACAATATTTACCTAATATTAGACATTGAATTTTCTAATTAATGATTTCATAACATTAAATAAAGCAATCATTTATGACATTTAATGAATATGTATTTACCTAAAAATGTAAGCCTATCACTAGCTAACATACAAGGTCCTAAGTTCTCAAGTAAATCACGACATTCTAATTCCCCATTTTCTGCATAATATTTTAAAAATTGATTAGCAATGTATGTTATGAAACCACCGTCTTGGGCTTTTAATGCCCATGACAATGCATTCCCAAGTCGTTTTTGTTTAATGCATTTCATACCTTGGATTTTGCATATACTAGTAACTGAAACGTTTAAATATCAAATAAATAAATAACAATAACGTTTAAAATATATACATATTTTACAATAAATACAAAAGAGTAAATTTTCATTTACCTATGTGATTCAAATTACTACCACGTGCAATATCAATAATTTTGTTTACTCTTGCTTCTGATCCCATAGGTAATGATTCTAATAATAGTTCTAATCTAGCTAAACCCTGAATAGGGCAATGCATTAAATAGCTTGCACCACATTGCCATAAGGAATGATGTCCCATTAAAGCGGTAGCATACTCTAAAATGAGGGATTCATGTAACTGTGCGGTAATACTAAAAAAAAAAAAAATGAATATAAAATCAGATGACATTTTGAGTATCGAAATTATAAGTACTTACTCCTTTTGATGTTTATCTATAATATTTAATTTTCCACAATTATAAAGTAAATCTATCAAATGAGCTGCAAACCATCCATTATCATTCATAAATTGAATTTCTTTAATTACTTGATGAAGATCATTTTCTATTAAAGCCAAAATAATATGATCCAAAGGTTTATTTGCTTTCCATCTTTCTGCCATGTTATATGCATGTCGTGAAAATTCAACTTGTTTACAACATGGTACAGAATAAAATAATTTTGCAGCCAATAATTCATACCAGGCCTCTGTATATTTTGAAAATTCCCATATTGTAGATTCATCCCCAGCTACTAACTAAGTATAATAAAAAAGATGGATTTTTAATAAATAAGAAAAATAGTTTTGTTTTAATTTAAAATGATTACCTTCATAAGCATTTCTAAGTTGTTATCAATAGCGAAAGTTTTGCTATCGATATTTGAAGATAAATCTAACTGCCAATGTTTCCAGCGTACTGTAAACTCACTCACTGAATAACCACCATAAATATTATATATAGGCATAGCTTTAATTGAATTTTCTGCAACTATAAAAGCTGGATGATCAGCTTTGCTATGCATTGACAAAAGTGCACATACTAAATCTATTTTTCCATGTAATGCGCAACCTATTATTACTTCCCAGTAGTATATATATTCTAGATCAGCTGCAATACACTTCTGTGACAATATTTTAATTGCTTTAAGTTCTTTTGATGGAAAATGAAATTGAATCCATTCTAACAAACGTGGTAATATCACATTACCTAAAAAAAAACAAAATACAATGAAAAGTTAAATTATTTGACACTATGTAAACATTAAATAAATAATATGAACTAATTACAATTTACCTGGAATATTATCAAGATATAAAATCTCTGTTAAATGCCATACACATTCGACGTTATAAAAGATAGTTAGAAAATTTTCTATGGTTATTTTACTTTCAGGTAAAGATTTTTCAGCAATATCTTGTAGACCTTCCACGCACGCTCTTAAAATAGAACGATATTGCTTGCTATGTTTCAATAACTCTGGACAAATATCTCCAGAAGAAGATGATTTAATTTTATAAATTGATAAGAAGACTCCGTTACTTTCATTAACAAGTTTACGCAATGGAGGAGAAAATAATATTACTTCAGGTCTTAGGATATGTACTTTAATATCAGATGTAGTAAATGTACTTTTTGTATCTAAAAAAACAAACATTAAAATACACTAGTTTGAATAGTATACTACATTAAAAATTATATGTAAATATCATTTTATGTACCTTGTATATGTTTATTTATGTATTTGTGAGCATATAATCCAATCTTATTTGAATTAATCCAGCTTGCTGTAATACCTACTTGTTTACAAACTTCATCTGGAATTGGCTTTAAATATAAACAATTTTATTATCATGATTAATTATAAATTATTATAATAGTAACAATGAGAGAGAGAGAGAGAGACATTATTGTATAGTATGAAAATTAATTGTGAATTGTGGTTATGAAATATGATGAATGCTAAGAAAAATTAACTTACTATTTCGACAGCGTTATTTTTAGCCATAATTATAAATGTATTCCTTATCAATCGACACTATTTATTTTAATTAATGATTAAATTTATTTGTAAATTATCCGATGGCGCCAATTCTTAAGTCACAATCATATAAACAGAAATTACTTTATAAGAGCGTGAGAGAGAGAGAGTACTTCAACTAGTTATCTGTTAAACTATCAGATGTCGCGCAGATCTTGTCTTTTTCGCAAGTGTTTACATCCAATATCGCTTGATGCATCTGTTATGTGTGTGTGTGTACGATTTCTTTTTTAGAAAAAATTAATTAAAGCACTAGGAAAAATACTTGCCCTTTTAATTGACTTGTCCTTATCAAGAATATACTTAAATAACGTGTTTCTTTTTACATATACACAGCCACACATAACATCATGAGATAACCGATCAATGAGAGATTACAAATCGTTCTCTTTTAAGTTTTATATATAGTGGCTCACGAAAGTATTCGAACGCTCGCTATTAAAACTATAAATAATAAAAATATGCATGTTATAGACCTATGTTCCGAAAGTAATGTTGAAAATAAAATTAAAAGTATCCGAACGCTTAGATATTAAGCTATCAAACAATGCCATTGTAGGGAACTGTAAACATTCGACAATGTAGTTGATGTAGTGACATCGTGTAGTGAGTTTCGTGCTTTGTTAAAAATACAATTAGTTTATGCAATTACAATGAGTCCGAAAAAATCGGAAACGCAGATATGTGAAAGAGAATTAATATTAAAGTTCCATAAAGAAGGGAAATCGTATAGAGAAATTGCCGAATTAGTGGGGAGATGTGTATCTACAATACATTATATTATTAAAAAATCAAAAACCGAAGAAACAATTACGAACAAGCACCGTACAGGTCGTCCTAAGAAATTAACTAGTAGAGAAGAGAAAATTATAATACGCGAAATAAAAAAAGATCCACATATTTCGGCTGCAAATCTTGCTCAAATGGTTGCTGACAATTTTAAAAAAGATGTTCATCCTGAATTATGTCGCAGGATTTTACGCAACAATAATTTTCATGGTAGAGTTCCAAGAAAGAAAGCATTTATTAATAAGACGAATCAAGCCAAGCGTTTGAAATTTACAAAAGAATATGTAAATAAAGACAATGCATCGTCTCCAAGCCATAATTATAGCCAAGGGAGATCCAATTAAATATTAAATAAAATGAAGTGCATATAATTAATAGTGTTCGAATACTTTTATGACACTGTTTCAATACATCTTTGCAACAAATTTTTTATAACTTCTATAAATATTGTTCGATTCGCTTCAAATTTCATATACATAATCTTATAATTTTTACATTATTTTCGGAATATAAGTCTAACATGCATATTTTTATAATATAATTTAAAGTTTTAATAGCGAACGTTCAGATACTTTCGTGAGCCGCTGTATGGAAATTGTTATAATTTATCCATAAAACTATCTATTACAGTTATACGGAAACAAATCCGTTTCATATATATATATATATATATATATATATATTTTATAGACAATTAAGAGAATTATTTTTGCATTTTAAAATGTAGATATATATAAATATTTAAGTATTAAAAACTTCTGGTATATCTATTAAAATAAATAATAAAAATAGATAAAATATATGTAAAAAAAAAATAAATATCTAATTTCGAAACTACGGAAATCTGTTTAGAGAAATCAAGAACTATTTGTACGATGTTGTTTATTCAATACTGCAGTAACTTTTTCGTCAATTACTGAACCACTAAGTTTACATTAGGAAACAACAACGGGCAGGTTTTTGGATATGAAAACATTTGCGATGTAGTAATATTTAAATCGTACACTAATGTGTGAATGTATATATGTGTGTCTAGGTAATGTAATTTCAATAAATCTTCAATATCTTGTTTCATTACATTGAAATTCATTATTTTATAACAATTTCAGTTACGCTACATGAAACAGTAAGCCATGAAATAATTACAAATATGCTAATAATTAGAAAGAATTCAGTATTTTAAAGATGATCCGTTCCACTTGATTGATTCTGTTCATAGTTGCACTGCTGTTTCCCATTGATATGAAAATATGGGCAGGCTTAATGATTTCATGGCATTCTGTGTACCAAAGATAGTCATTGCTTTTATTTTCTGAAGCAAAGACATATTGTTTGACAGTGACGCACTAAACTATCAGCAATTTCTTATGATGATATTGTTGGCTTAGAAGGCAAACAGAAGTAAGAAAGCCATCATAAGACAAAATAGTCCCATAGCCTCAGATAAGGCAAAACCTAAAATGGCATATGAAAATAATTGCTGTTTTAAAGATGGATTCCTAGCATAACCAATGATGAGAGAACCAAATACAGATCCAATTCCAGCACCTAAAATAACATATATTTAGTTAATAATAGTTGAATGTTATTTAAAGATGTAGATATCTATATATTTTATTTTAACGAAATAATGTTAATATTACGACTTCTAAAAAATTACATACATTTAATTGCATATAATGAAAGTACTAAATTAGACTATGTATATAAAACAATGATATGATATAGGTAATTGTATATTCCATTCTTGAGGGAAGCATATTGTCAGGAAGTTTAAAAGGCAAACAGGATAAGGAATGCTATCATTAGACAAAAAAGCCCCATAGCTTCAGCTAAGGCAAATCCCAGGATAGCATAAGTAAAACATTGCTGTTTTAAGGAAGGGTTTCGTGTGTAACCAATTATCAAGGATCCAAAAACTAATCCAATACCAACTGCTGTAATTTAAATATCTGTTAGAAATATTATACTATCTCTTGTAGATAATAAATTAATAAATGATATGTTTAACATAATTTATGTTAATGATTAAGATATATGATGAATAAATTTTGTAATTGAAAGTGAAGTTGTGCACAGAAGTTACTAAGAATATGAAATATTTGTGATACTTATGTCAGGATTGTGATAATTTAGGATTCTTTTACTATTGAACAATTACACACCAGATCCTGCAACGCCAACGGTTGCAGCACCAGCACCGATAAATTTGGCAGCAGAATCAATATCACGTCTGATCAGTGAAGTTTGGAAGCTACGTACTTGCTGTGACTACATAAAAAAATGATTGTCATTATAAAGAGTTATATGTACCTATAAAATAATTTCAAAGCTATATCATATTATATAAGAATCTATATAAGGTATATTTGTATCTTATAAGTATAGATTACTCTTTGGTTTTGTTTTTCAATTGTTATATAACTTTCTAAAAACTATCTTTTTTGTTAATATTTTATTTTACTATACTATATAAAATACATTATCTTTTTAAAATTTATCTATTCTTTCAATAACAGTGATTGTACCGAGTCTTATGTATACTTATTTCTACCATAACAGAGCAAATGACTCGTCCTCAAAAAGTCATATATTTTACAATATATATATAGTAAAAAATTATGCCAAAAATTGTACAATCGGTCATTTGATCACAGTCATGGTACATTTAATAATAAGTAAAAAGTATTGAGATACATAACCATAAATACTATGGCATATTTCGCTCTGCAAATTTATTGCATAATATGTAATAAATATATATTAATAGGTATAAGCATTATTATTAAATATAAAAATACTTATTTTCTAAAGATATAATGACTTATGTAACTTATAAATGAAGAAGTTATGCAATATATAAAACATAAATTACTTACTAAACTCACTGATGGCTGAAATTGTTTCTGCTGTTGTAAAGATTGGCTTTGACTGACCATGCTGCTCAATGGTCGAATATAGGTCCTGGTTCCAGAAACCAACTAAAAAACATCAAGTTTACGAAAGATTATATAATGTCAAATTGTATGAATTTGAAAAATGAAATGTGGAAGGTTCTATACTCACGGTAGACCTGGCAATGGGAGCGATGAGTCGAGAGCAGGCATACATGGTGACGTTTTATATGTCGCGCGGTTTTACAAGTGTCTGAAATGAAAGGATACAAACGATCGATTTTGACAATTTTTATATATTGATCCTAAACTTCAAACAATTTTCGATATAAATGAACAAATCGTCTAGACCAATGTGGCTCCTCCGTTAGTTACGAATTATATTGGAGAAAAAGAGAGGAAAAAGGAAAAAGGGAAGAGGAAAGAGGAGAGAGAGGGAGGAAGAAATTGTTACATAACGTCTAAATCGTTACACGAGGATATAGAAGAAAAATAGGTCGAGATTAACTTTATTCGGATATTTATAGGTATTTATCAGAGATTAACTAAAACACGAGAATACTGTTCGTCGAATGTGGCAGATAATGGAGGATCTAATTAAAAAATGGCTGGTCTCTACGACTTCTTCCTTTGACTTTGTAATTCAATTTCTGAGATTATTAAATGGAAATCACATTGTTCTTCGGATATTTCTTTAACTAGTGTATTAATGTAATAATTGAATATTTAAATTCGTATCATAATAGTAAATTTCACTTTCTTTTACTCACTATCCAACAAGCAAGCAGTCAGACTTACCAAAGAAGAGTGCTGAAGAAGCGGTAAGAAGACCCAGCCTTTGGAATGTTGAATCGGTGAGTGACCCGTGAACAGAACACTCTGCTAAGCCCCAATCTATCTCAACTGAATCTACCGACGAATGCAGGAACTTCCGTGTAACGACCCATTCCCGATAACCCGACTAGCGTTATCGACCAACCGAATTTAACCGAACAAGTTCACGTCTGCAATAACTAATCAATACAACAACTAAGTATCATTCCCTTGCTTATTAATAAACATTGATAATAGAAATTTATATTAAAATAACATTTCTGTTCTTACTTAATGATTGTTCATGCAATTTGAGTTTCTATTACATTCATTAGTAAAAAAGGAAAAATATTTGTAATATTCAATTTGACTAGCTTATTCTTAAAGGCATTTTCCATGAATATTAAGGTTCGTTTACATTTTAAAAAATACTAGTGATAATAAACCTAATTTGTTAACTAGATGTCGTAACAATCTTGCTTTTTAACATACTAGCATGTATTATATTTATATACATTCTATGTCTATATTGGAGAATTCTTCAGTGAAACTAATAAGTGCATCTTGGATTTAAATGTAATGCATAAAAGTCATAACGATGACAAATTGAAGAGTCATTATGGGGGTAAAAATGATTACTGCCGTCAATTTGGCCAAAAAAAGGAGTTGAGATTTACATTGAAACGATCTAAGTCACTAGTTCTACTTTTTGCCTGCATTAGCGTTACTGTTTGCTTTCAATTCGTAGTCGGTAACACAAAAAATGATAAAAACTGCATTCTCTACTGAATTGTGGACAAATTCATATTTCTTCCTAAGTTTACTCTAAATTATCTCTATAAACTTATATCTGTCAAATAGTTTTATAATATCAATATATTAAAGAATCGAGAAACTATTGATATTATCACTAACATGTTTACATGCTATGATCGATAGAATGACATTTCGTAATTAATCTCTTTATGAAAGTGAAGACATATTTGCAATATGTAAACCTCAACAATAATAGAAATATTAAATACACAGGTAGGCTATTTTATTCTATAAAGAACCTAACCTCACATGTATACCTTAATGAAGACAGTAGTAACTAACATTTCTTTAATCAATGAAATGACATATCTCTAATGACATTTTAATTTTAATGTGACATTTGTTTTCGTTGGATTAAACTTTTAACAAATTTGTTTATATTAACAAAATATACATAAAATAACTTTTATTGTAAAATATATATATATAAAATACATATATATGTATGTATATATATATATATATATGTGCATATATGTTATGTACTTATATGTTATTTTTTTAAAGATCAATAATGTGGAATTAATTTATCAGAGTTTAACTGCATAGAATAATAATATAATATTGAATGAATTTTTTTTTTATGTTTTATAATAATAGAGTCATGGAACACAGCAAAAACAAGGAATAATCAAGAATAAAATGGATTCATTTGTTTCATTCTTTTTCAAGTAATGAATAAAAATAGTTCTACATTTTTTAACACAGACATTTTAAAAATATCTACAAAAATGAGCAGTCAATTGAAAATTTCAATGGAAACAGAAGGCCATTTAGATGCAAAGTGGTTAAAAATTGATTTACAACGCTTTCTTTTTCGTGATGGATTAGCTGATCTTTGGAATGAAATGATTAGAGATGGAGAAGTTATAGGGCATGATGATGTTTTACTTAATTCTGCAGGGGTTCTGGCTAAAAAAGGTAAGATATATTAAATATTTATATATTCAAGTTTAGACAGGATATATTAATTTACAAGATTTTGAGTAACCTTAGGAGAAAGTGGACATTATTATTGTGGAATGAAAGCATTGTCTTGTCTTTGCTGCGATGGTATTTGTGGTCCTCAACATGGATGCAATTGTGGTCCGTGTCAAAAGGTTGATACTGAAGCCTCCAGAAGAAATAAAATACTTACAGAGAATGTAATGTCTGCCCCAAAA